GACAGTTCAAAAAAAAAATGAATTTTTAACGACTTCAATAAGATACACGATACAAATAAATTAATTATTCCAAGTTATGTTATAGGCAATATTGGCAATCAAATTATAGATATAAATTATATCATATTATATTAAATTTCGAACCAAAAAGGAAATATTTTAGCATTTAAAAATTTAGTGCATATTGGATATATGAAATTGACATTCAATATTTTTAAATTAAATGCAAAAGTAAAAAATCTGATATTTATATAAAAATTATATATTTAGATAATAGTACTGCGCTGATTCAGACTAAAATCTAATTTATTCATTGATTAAAAATATTTCACTATTTGACATAAATAAAATTAAAATAAACAAAGCACTATGATGCGTTCGAATTAATTATCGAAATGTAAAGAAATTCGTGTAATAAAAATATAACATTATTATTAATATATCATGTATATTATAAGAACTTTTGCAATGCGGAAAAATATTTTTGATGGCAAAACAGCGTTTGCCGGGTCAGCTAGTATATATATATATATATATATATATATATATATATATTTTAATTTCAATAAGTATTGCGACTGTTAAATTAATAACATCTAGTAATTGGTATATCAGCTCTCCTATTAATATTGGGATTGTCAGGAGAGTTCGTTCGTCCTCCATTTTCGTATCAAAACAGAAATAGAAATGTCACAAGCGGCTCGAAAAAAAATAATACGTTATAAATAATAAATATAAATATAAATAATATAATTTATTGAATTTGTTAATGTGCAGAATAGTTTTTGTGTTTAATTTTGTATAACAAAGTGTCCCAAGAAGTACTAATGCAAAATAGAAATTTGAACTGTCACTTTTTTGGGGTTAGAAAATAATTATTTTTGTATTTTTCGTGTTTTATTAATATTTAATACTAATAAGTTTATAATAATATAAACGTGGTGATAATAATATAAAAGTAAACCTTGTTTAATTAACTAAGTCGTGTTTTAATTTTGAATGTGAGTTTTGTAGTGTTCTATAGATACTAATACAAAATAAAATGTAAACTGTCACTTTTTGGGGTTAGATAATTATTTATTTTAAATTATTTGTATTTAAACTAATTGTGTATTAATTTATTAATACTATATACTAATTTGTTCATGATAATAATATAAAAGTCGTTTTGGAATAATATATAGTTCAGTTTTGTGTTTAATTTATATATTTTTTTGTATTTTGTTCTGTCGAAACAAATGTAAAACTTATAAACGTCACTTTTTGAGGTTATGAATTTAAATTTAAAATTTTAGTGTATTTTGATCAATTTATTTACAAAATTCTATTTAGCTTGATACAATGGTGGTTTTAATACATTACAAAATTAAATTGAACAGTTTTCTGGTATAAAAAGTATAAATTTTAGTTTATTTTTATAATTTGTGCTTAAAATGTCCTAGGAGCTTTAATAATGGAAGTGGCGAATATGGTTAGGTGACAAATTTTAAATATTTTTGGTGTTTTTTCAATGAATTAATAGTTAAAAGGTGTTTAATAATAATTATATACTAATAAGTGATGTGTTAAAGTATAAATATATAAAGTGTAGTGAAGTTTTTTAAATGTTTTTTGGAATTAACTAAATAAAGTTTGGTTTAATGAAGGACAACTTAAAAATGTCGATATCGGTGAAGAAAATTGATTATTTTCGTGTTTATTGCTTTTTTAACAATTAATATCGGGTTTAAAAGTTTTAAATAATTCACTAATGACTTAAAAATAGATATTTAATTAAATTTTAGTATTGTTTTTATCATTTTATGTTTAATTTTAATATATGTGCTTTAATAATGTTAAAAATAATATTAATTTACAAAGGTGTACAAAATTGATTATTTTTGGGTTTCTTGGTGTTTTTATCTATTTAAAATTGTTTTAATGGTTTAATTAATTCACTAATGATTTAAAAATGTATTTTTATTTAAAAATGTATTTTTAATCAAAATTCAGTGTTTATTTTTATCATTTTATGTTTAATTTTAATATATGTGCTTTAGTAATGTTAAAAATAATTAATAGTAATGTTAAAAATAATAATGTTAATAATAATTAATTAAATAAATAATAATAATAATTAAAAATAATAAAAGTTCGTTAATACTAAAATAGACATAGATATGTCGCCTACATTTAATTATATTAATATATTAAAATTAATTTATAATTAAAATAAAAAAGACAATTTTACATTCGTTAGTAATATTAACTCTAAAATTTTATGATTTTTTTTGCCATCGTTCCTTTGACTATAACTTTAATAAAATGTCCTATTTTTAATTAACAGGTCAATGTTAATTAAATGTTAACTAATTTAGTGCACATGACGACTTTGCTAAACTAGTTTAATTTTGTGAACATAACTAAATACATGATATTTAAAATAACATTACAAAACTAAATATGTAATATTATTAAATTTTTAGTGTTAGGGTTTATCTGGCTATATTAAAAATTAATTAAAAATTGATTTTTACTTATATTCCAAAAATAAAAAAATGACTTAACATATATTATAGTTAATATAAATAGTGAGTTAAATTAAATATAAAAATTGCTTGATTAAAATATTTGATTAATAAATATATAAATACATGTTATAAGTTAAAAATATTTTTAAATGGCACCAGAAAAAGAATTATATTTCTGTCACAACATCCTAGTGTTTGTTTTCATGATGTTTTAAGCCGTTTTGAATCGTTTGACACCGAAATTGAATTATCTTGATTTACAAATTTCAAGTTGTACCAATTCAAAATTCAACAATTTTTCCTAAACAATTTTGTTCGAAAAGTTTTTAAACGTTATATACAAATTTATAGATAATTTTATTGGCTTTCTAACAATATACAATACTATAGTTATATTTTAATTCTGTGTAATAAAATAAACGTTTGTATATGAAATGTTTTAAAATTACTGCATTTAATTTTGAACAATGTACCCAACACTATGAAGTTGTCCGCGGTTTTGATACTGTCAACTCTTTTTTGACCGTTAAGATTTAAATTTAAATTTAAATTTACAATACAATATTTGTGTTTTGATCATTTACTATATTTATATTTATAAAAAATTGCTGACAATATTACATATATAATGCAAAACAATAAGAAAAATATCAATTAAAATTGAATGGTATGTGTAAAATCACAATTACTATTTAAAACAACGTTCTGTGCGGATCAGAAGCAAGGACTCTACTAAAAAAAATAAACTGTACTGACGAGCAAACACAAAACAGGACTCTAATACATGATATATGATAATTTTGTTCCAACACTAACAAACTGTTAAATACAGATTTGTATAAATAAAAGTATCTTTTTATTAGCTTTTTAATAATATATAATACTATAGTTATATTTTAATTCGTTCGAGTTTGTTTGAAAAGTTTTGAAACGTGACATAAAATTCGAAAAGTGTTCGTATAAAGTCACATTCTAAACCCACTTGCAAATACATTTGTTCTAGTTTGTCTCTTAGGCTGTGCTTAGTCTGGGTAATTTTTTGAATTCTTAACAAAATTACATTTCTAACATAAAATTGAAAAAGTGCTCCCTTAAAGTCACATTCTGAGCACATTTGCGAATACATTCGTACTAGGTTGTCGCTTAGACTGTGCCTAGAAGATTTTTTTTCTTTAATTTTTGCAAAATTGAAAAAATGCTTCTGTAAAGTCATAATCTAAACGCGCTTACAAATATATTTGTACCACTTTGTAACTTAGATAGTGCTCAGAGTAATTTTTTTGAATTTCTAACAAAATTCAATTTTTATAAATAATTCTACATAAAATTCGAAAAGTGTTCCCGTACAATCACAATATAAACGCACTTGCGTAAACATTTGCACCAGGTTGTCACTTACACTGAGCTTAGTCCGGGTAATTTTTTGAATTTTTTAACATAAAATTACATTTTTATAATTTACAAAAAAATTGGAAAAATGCTCCGTAAAGTCACAATCTAAACTAATTTGTACAAGGTACAAGTAACAATCTAATTTGTACAAGGTTGTTACTTAGACTGTGCTTAGCCTGGGTAATTTTTTGAATTTTTTAACCCAAAATTACATTTTCAAAATTTACATAAAACGGGAAAAGTGCTCTGGCTCAGTAACATTCTAAACGATATGCAGATTTGTAGATAATTTTATTAGCTTTCTAACGATATATAACAATATATAAGTGCTAGAACAAATTTTAGCAATATAAACCCAAATATAAAAAAATTTCACCACAACCACCAATGTCTAAACTACAGTTTCAACTTTACAGACTTCTCTTGCTAAATTTTGTTCGAAAAGTTTTAAAACGTTATATACATAGTTGTAGATAATTTTCTTAGCTTTTCAACGATATATAACAATATATATATATATATATATACATATACATATTTTTCTTGCAAAATTTTGTTTAATATTTGTGTTTTATCATTAACTATAAATAATTTTGTTAGAAAACTTATTGAACGTTATATACACAGTTGTAGATAATTTTATTACCTTTTTAACGATATATAACAATATATATGTTGTGGAACAAATTTTAGCAATATAAACGTACATACAAAAAATGTAACCATTAACCACCAATGGCTAAACTACAGTTTCAACTTTACAGGCTTCTCATGCTAAATTTTGTTCGTAAAGTTTTAAAACATTATATACAGATTTGTATACAATTTTATCAGCTTTCTAACAATATATAACACTATTATTAAATTCAAAATATTTATAACAAAATAAACGTGCAACCCATGTGCAACCAAATAAATACACAGTGCTACAAAACAGGCTCTAAAAACATTACCAAGTGCAAATTCACCAATCCCAAACCACTAAGAAATACCCAAAACCCTCAGTGAACTTATCAAATTCCATTTTTTGGAAAATTTCGAGTCTATATATTTTTAAAAAATGGTTTTCTCTAAATCCGGCCAATACGATTTGTGCAGATGGAAATTGCTGCAAATTGCAGTCGATGAGAGGTACAAGCAATTCTGCGAGTTCGGCAAAGAAGGCGGCGTGACGTCACAAGGGTTCCTGACGGGTTCCGTAGAGGCACCTTGGGAGAGGGCCATCACTCCGAGCAAAGTGCCTTATTATATCAAGTAAGTGGGAAAATACTTTAAATGTTATATACAGATTTGTAGAGAATTTTATTAGCTTTCTAATGGTATATAATAATATATATGTGTTGGAACAAATTTTGGCGATATGAAGGTAAATGTAAAAAATGTCACCGATTAAATTTTAAAGTTCATATATTTTTCCTAAACAATTTTGTTCGAAAAGTTTTTAAACGTTGTATACAGAGTTGTAGATAATTTAATTAGCTTTCTAACGATATATAATACTTATAATATATTTAATTAAATTTAAACAAAATCAATATAAATATAAACCACGAACATTTATTTATAACTTGAACTATTTCAAATTTGGAGCTGTCAATCCGCCATGTTGCAATTGGAACTGTCAAGCAGACATTTTGTTTTTGCAACTGTCAATAAAAGAAATTTTAAACTCAAACAATGTGGACGCCTCACGATTTTTAAGTTCACATATTTTCCTTCTAAATTTTGTTAGAAAAGTTTTTAAACGTTATATACAGATTTGTAGATTATTTTATTAGCTTTTTAAAGATATATAATAATATATATGTTGTAGAACAAATTTTATCAATATAAAGGTAAATATAAAAAATGTCACCGATGACTAACTAAATTTTCACACATTTTTTACAATTAATTTTGTTCGAAATGTTCAAACGTTATATACAGATTTGTAGATAATTTTATCAGCTTTCTAACAATATATAACATTATTTGCTATTTAATATTATCTAATAAATTTAATAATTTTTTGCTAAAAAAAAATGTCTGCATTGTTTGTCAATTTGTAAAAATTAAATTCCAATATACAACTATATGTTTATACAAAGCTTATTAAATTATTTACAAATATGCATTTTTACATTTGTATTCGTTGCAATAAAATTATTAATAAAAATTTGCTTCAATTTTGACATTAAATATTATCAATACATATTACATAGAACTAAAAATTAAACAAGTTACACTTCTCACATTTTTCTGAATTAATTTTATTTGAAAAGTTTTTAAACGTTATATACGGAGTTGTAGATAATTTTATCAGCTTTCTAACGATATATAATAATATATATGTTGGAACAAATTTTAGCAATATAAAGGTAAAAATAAGAAAAAATGACCAAAAACCAATTAGTAATTAAATTTTAAACTTTACATATTTTTCACAATTAATTTTGTTCGAAAAGTTTTCAAACGTTATATACAGAGTTGTAGATAATTTCATTAGCTTTCTCACGATATATAACAATATAATTATTTTTTTCATTTCATTATAATAATTACAAAATTATAAACAAAGTGCTTATTTGTAACAGTCACGTTTTAAATAGTATGAAAACTTAAAGTAAGATTTTGATGTTTACAGATTTTTTTAAGTTAATTTTTGTCCTAAAAGTTTTTAAACGTTATATACAGATTTGTAGATAATTTTATTAGCTTTCTAACGATATATATATATATATATATATATATATATATATAATATATATTTTATTAAATTTAAACAAAATGAATATAAATATAAACCACGAACATTTATTTATAACTTGAACTATTTTAAAATTGGAGCTGTCAAGCCGCCATGTTGCATTCGAAACTGTCAAGCCGACATTTTGTTTTTGCAACTGTCAATAAAAGAAATTTTAAACTCAAACAATGTGGACGCCTCACGATGGTGTTAATTTCAAACTTTAACGAATTATTTTTGCATAATTTTGTTCCAACACTTACAAATTGTTGTATACAGATTTGTATATAATTTTAGCTACTTTCTAATAATATATTATAATATATAAGCGTAAAGTTGAATTTTGGCATAATGGTAACTAAATGTTTAAGTTCACATATTTTTTGTTCGGAAAGTTTTCAAACGTTATATACAGATCTGTAGACAAATTTATTACCTTTTTAACAATATGTTACACTTTTGTTATGTTTTAATTTTGTATAATAAAATAAACGTGGATATAAAAAAGTGCAACCGATGAAACTAATAATATAAAAGGACACTTCAAAGTTTAGAAATAATTTGTAAATAATTTTGTTCGAAACGTGTTAAAGTTTAATATACAGAGTTGTAGACAATTCTATTAGCTCTTTAACGATATATAACAATATATATGTGCTAGAACAAAGTTTAATAACATAAACGTGAATATAAAAAATGTAACCTATAAAACTCACCAATGGCTAACTAATGTTTTAACTTTACCGTTTAATAAACTATCAAGTTTTAAAATGGCGTAGAACAACTGTCAAATGTTATCTTCACAATAATTAATATTTGAACATAATTAAGATATTTCAGCTTTAAATTTTACTTGAAAAGAACACTAAAGCTTATTTTATAACTATCTATTTTTATATTATACTACTAAAGAGTCAATTGCGCAAATTAATATTAAAATTATAATAAAAATATATCGATATGTTTGCAGCATAGACGCTTAAATTTAAAATGGCGGAACAAACTGTCAAACTCGTAAATACAAATTATGATACAGTAAGTTTAAATTTTAACTGTATATATTTAAAAAACACTTGAATTTATTTAATATCAAAAGTAACATTTGTGATTATAATTTACAAAGGAAAAATAGACATTTGTAAAATTCAAATTTTACTACTTATAATAAATCTTTGAACACATTTGAAACTGTTAAATTTTAAAATGGCGCAAGCAACTGTCAAAAATTATTAGTATTTAAAGTTTTGAAGTTTAACTATTTAAAGTTAAAAAATACTTTTATTTATTTAATAAGAGACGTACATTTATATTATATCAACAAATTCCACAAAATTTTAATTATAAACTTTTATAACTTCAACTAGCCATTTTAAAATGGCGGAAACTGTCAAACGTTGTCTATAATTTAATTAATGTTTACTCGTAATTACGGTATTTTAGTTTTCAATTCAACATGTATTAAATTAATACTATATCTATATTATATTATAGTATATTTATATTATACGAAGAAATAGTTATTTGCAAAAATTTCAATTAGAATTATAATAAATCATAAGTTACATGGAATTAAATAGATAAAATTTCAAAATGGCGTTAAAAGCTGAAACAATAAATTTGATTTATTTTGTTTAAATTAAATGTTTAATGTTTTATATAATACATATATTGTTGAATTTATATTAAATTTTATATGAATAATAAAATACATTGCTTTGTACATTGTTTATATATTTAAAATAATCACATGCAATGCATATATTATAATGAGCATAGATACTATATATATAGATTGACACAAAACAAAGAGAGACATATATAGAGTAGAACATAGTGTGTTTAGTATCAATCTTCAACAAATATAAATATACGTAAAATATAAAACAATATTATAATTGTTATTCGTGACTTTATATATATATATATATATATATATATATATATATATAATTATATTTCACTTATAAATTAAATTGTTCTTTCAAATTTCTTTTGTTATTAAAATAGCGGATCGACTGTCAGTTAGTAAGGTTAATTTTTAAATTTTTATGTTTTAAAGTATATAATGGTTGTTTTTTTCCAATTTCAGCCATCAATTGGAAACGACGCATTGGGATCACCCCAAGATGATAGATTTGATGAACTCTTTGGCCGATTTGAACGAGGTTCGATTTTCGGCCTACAGGACGGCCATGAAGCTGAGGACCGTACAGAAAAAACTAGGAAGTAAGTAAAAATTAATTACTAATATTTACTCAGTTACTCAATAATTACTCACATGTGTCTTTTGCCCTTTTAGTGAACATGTTGAGTCTCTCTAGTGCCCTAGAAGCTTTCGACAATCACGGATTAAGGGCCCAAAATGATAAATTGATCGATATCCCTGATATGGTGACCGTCTTAACATCCTTATACGAAATCATAGCCAATGAGAACCCGAAGGCCCAAATCAACGTCCCACTATGTCTCGATTTGGCCATAAATTGGCTGTTGAATGTTTACGATAGTCAACGAACTGGCCAAATCAGAGTTTTGAGCTTTAAAGTCGGTTTGGTATTACTTTGCAAAGGTCATCTCGAAGAAAAGTATAAGTAAGTATTGTCGATGCAGTATAAGAAATTGCATGATGTGGGTTTTATAAATTTGTTTTATTTTTTAGGTATCTTTTCCGGTTAATAGCCGATCCTAATCGTTTGGTCGATCAAAGGAAGTTAGGATTGCTTTTGCACGATTGCATTCAGGTGCCGAGACAGCTGGGTGAAGTTGCAGCTTTCGGAGGTTCAAATATTGAACCGAGCGTTAGAAGCTGCTTTGAGAAGGCCGGAAAGGTAAGATTCATAATAATAATAATAATAATAGTAATAGTAAATATTAATAGCTGCAAATATTTTAAATTTATTAATTAACAATGTTTGTGAAACTTAATATATCTTTTAACAACATTATTACAAATCGAATACTTTTTGAACCATCAAAATCGGTCCAACCGTTCTTGAAATATAATAAATGTATATTACACAAGTAAAAATTCTTTCACAAAAAGTCTATCACGCACGTTCGAATCACAAGCCTCGACCGAACAGCATAGACTTAAACCTTAAATCGTTAAACATAATGTTTAACGCGCTCTACGCTCGATCCATACTTAGAAGTTCGAAGGGCATCCTTGACACCTCAAAACATAGACCGATACTATTTTTTGAACGATACGACTTTAATGTTACGGAATACGTTGGTAAATGTGATAAATAATAGTTTTTGCCTATCGGCAAGTAGCTAGATGGATAATACACTATGATAAAAGATAAAATAGCATGATTTGGGTTTGTATTAAGTTTTGTTAATGATAAAACTAAATAATGATTAAAATATTTTACTAACGCTTACCATGCGTATCCGAGCCTAAGTAAAAATGTATGAGAAAGCGTCGTGTTAGGATCGGACGACATGGCGAGCAAATATCGAATTTAAGATATTGAAGTATGGTTGAAGATTTTATCAGATAAATATAGGCATGTGGGGTATCAAATGAAAGGTCTGGATGAACCCTAACTAGAAATCATACTTAAACATTCTAAAAAGTAATAGGGTTCCGGACAAGATATTTATTTATTTCGTAATGTCAATTTTTACAATTTTAAAATACAAGAATCCGTTGTAGGAGCAACTGTGTTAGATTATGTTATAGATAATTGAATTTACCACAAGTTTGCCGAATATTGCGTTCAATTTGGACGAACGGTTCAAAAGTTACAAGAGATTGAATGAAAGGTAAACCAATGGGTTGCAGAACTCAGGGTCTAGTATGAGTTGAGAAGTTTTACTTCAAATATTGGCATGTGGGGTATCAAATGAAAGGTCTCGACGAGCACTAGAATAATATCTTAATAATAGACTTTTGACATCGATAGGATTTTCTATTTTAATTTTGTTAAATTAATTGTTAATTTTTATTTCTAATCTTGTAAAACGAGTGATCGTAAGGCTTATATTCATAGACAGTATTATAGATTGCTTAATTATGTACAAATTTGCCGAATATTTCACTTCTCTAGGACAAATAGTTTAAAAGTTACAAGAGATTTAATAAAAAGTAGACCAATGGGTTGCAGAACTCGAGGCCAAAATTAGTTACTTCAAATGTAGGCATGTGGGGTATCAAATGAAAGGTCTCGACGAGCACTAACCAAATATCATAGTAACTTTCTCAACAAATTGATATAGTTACGCTTACAAGTATACCGAATTGCTGTAAGGCTTCGCAATATTAAACAATACTATTCACAATTTAATTTAACACAACTTTGTCAAATGTTGCATTCAAATCGGACGAACCGTTCAAAAGTTACAAGAGATTTAACAAAAAGTAAACCAATGGGTTGCAAAACTCTAAATCTAGTATGAGTCAAAAAGTTTTACTTCAAATATAGGCATGTGGGGTATCAAATGAAAGGTCGCGACGAGCTTTATCTGAAAATCATACTCAAAAACTCGACAAAGCAACAGGGTTCCGTACAAAACATATAAATCTTAGAAGTTAACATTACTATATCTATTATTAGGTCACTTACACCTAGTTTATTTCTTGTTTCCAGGATTTAACAGCGATCGAAGCAATGCACTTTTTGAGTTGGCTCCAGCAGGAGCCCCAGAGCATGGTTTGGCTGCCGGTGCTGCACAGATTAGCTGCTGCCGAGGCAGCTAAACATCAAGCCAAATGTAATATTTGTAAGGAGTATCCGATCGTTGGTTTCAGGTAATGTTTAATAACCACATATACACGTATGTATAATTTTGTTACGTTTATATGTTTATGAATGTGTTTCATTTATTTACCAGATATCGTTGTCTGAAATGCTTCAACTTCGACATGTGCCAAACCTGTTTCTTCTCAGGACGAAAAGCCAAAAACCACAAACTGACACATCCGATGCAGGAATACTGCACCACGGTAAGCAATAGTATTCTCGGTTACACTTTTTATCTTATATGGCAACACTAATTATAAGGAAATAACTCCAACCAGTTCGAAATAATTGGTACTACTGAAGGGCATTCATTAATCATGTGATCGATTTTTTAGTACTTTTTGATTACCCCTCCCCGAATTTACGAAAAAAACGTTTTTTAATGATCGATCTACACCAAAAAAAGGACTCTTCTGACGAGCAAACTGAAAATTCTTAACTAAAAAGGACTCTACTGCCAAACAAAATTAAATTACCAAAAAAAAAAGACTCTACTGACGAGCAATTGATTTAAATTACTCAAAAATTACATTAACAAAAAAGAGAAATTAAAAATTATATCAACAAGAAACTCTATTGACGAACAAAATAGTTTAAAAATTATATTAACAAAGAATGGACTTTACTGACGAGCAAACTTAGAAAATGCAAAAAGGGACTCTACTGACGAGCAATTTAATTGAAAGTTTCAATTAAATATAAACTAAATTTAAATATTAAACATTAAATGGCAAGCTAAAAAAATAAAAAAGAAACTCTACTGACAAACAAACTAAAAGTCGGTTCGATATTGAAATAAATAAAATGGGACTCTAGTGACGAGCAAATTGATTAAAATTGATTAAAAAAAATAACAAAAAAAGGAATCTACTGACGAGCAATCTTAATTTTGATCTGAAATTTTAAAAAAAGGACTCTACTAACGAGCAAACATCAAATATAAATTTAAATAACAAAAACGGGACTCTACTGACGAGCAAACTAAAAATCAATTTGAAATTAAAATCAATAAAAACAAAAAGGATTCTGATCAATATAAAAAGGGACTCTACTGACGAGCAAACATTAAAAACAAATTTAAATAACAAAAAAGGACTCCACTGACGAGCAAAGTAAAAATTAGATTGAAATATAAAAAAGGACTCTACTAACGTGCAAATCAAAAATTGTATCAAAATTATAAAAATACAAATTATAAAATACAAAATGGATTCTACTGACGAGCAAAATAAAAATCAGATTGAAATATAAAAAGGGACTCTACTGACAAGCAAATAAAAATTTACTTAAATTAAAAATGGACTCTACCAACGAGCAAAATAAAATTTGACTTTAAATAAAGAAGGAACTCTACTGACAAGCAAAGTAAAATTTGACTTTAAATTAAAAAGGGACTCTACTGACAAGAAAACATTAAATACAAACTTAAATAACAAAACGGGACTCTACAGACGAGCAAATTAAATTAACAAAAAAGGGACTCTACTGACCAGCAAACATTAAATAAAAATCTAAAAAAACGTGAAAGGGACTTTACTAAAGAGCAATCTTAATTTTAATCTAGAATTTTAAAAAAGGATTCTACTGGCGAGCCAAATTAAATTAATAGAAAAGGGACTCTACTTACGAGAAAACTAATTTAAAAAAATAGACAAAAGGGACTCTACTGACGAGAAAACTAAAAATCAATTTGAAATTAAAGTCAATAAAAACGAAATAAACTCTCATCAGTAGAGAAAAGGACTCTACTGACGAGCAAAATAAAATTTGACTTCAAATTAAAAAAGGACTCTACTGACCAGCAAAATAAAATTAACAATTAAAGGACTTTACTGACGAGCAAACTAATTAAAAATTGAAATTAACAAAAAACGAGCAAATTATTTTTTTATTTAGAAAATTAAAAAAGGGACTCTACTGACGAGCAAAATTAAAATAAAATGAAAAAACTCTACTAGCAATACACTTATTTCTCACACACCTTTATCAGGCTAATTTAATCATCCGTACATGTTTTTATATCTCTCCTTATCTATCTTTACTTTTTTATATCATATCTTTATTACATCTTAATAATATTAATTTTCTTAAAATCTTTCTTTACCATCACATTCAATTAATATATCCATTCCTCAGACAACCTCCGGTGAAGACGTTCGTGACTTCACAAGAGCTCTCCGTAACAAATTCAAATCCAAGAGATACTTCAAGAAGCACCCCCGAGTTGGCTATCTACCAGTCCAGACTGTTTTGGAAGGCGACGCCCTGGAAAGTCCAGCGCCGTCACCACAGAGGTCAGCACTCGCTCCCGATATGCATTCCAGGTTGGAGATGTATGCAACCAGGTTGGCCGAGGTTGAACTGAGGACTAGGAGCAATTCTACACCGGATTCGTAAGTAGATTTAAATGGCGAAAAATTTTTGTTGAAATATTGGTAAATATAAGTGCGCCCGCGACGGGAAGTTTTCATTTGCCCCGGCGCCCACGCAAGGGGTGCAAACTTTTACCCACTCGTTGTTAGTTTTCTCGTCAGTAGAGTTCATTTCTACTTTTTTGTTTTATTTAGTGATGATGAGCACCAACTGATTGCCCAATACTGCCAGTCTCTAACCGGTCCCAACGACTCCAATAACACGAACTCCAATTCGGCGCCCAGAAGTCCGGTTCAATTGATGGCGGCCATGGACGCCGAACAAAGGGAAGAATTGGAGCAATGATTAGAGAGCTGGAGGACGAAAATAAGGCGCTTCAAGCCGAGTATGAACGATTAAAAAAGGACGGCGGTGATAAAAACGAGAGGGGGGATAGACATGATGGTGATGAGAGGGATGGCGGAGGGGTTAATGGAAATGGTGGAGCAGGTGAGGGAGAGATTTTTTTAAAAAATGACATTTATGTAATAGTTGCTAGAGTTTTTAAGTTATGTTTTGTAAAAGTATTTGTTTTAATTTTTTTTAAAACGCTTGTCAGTAGAGTTTTTCTTGTCATTCTTAATTTGATCGTCAGTAGAATCTGTTTTTTGATTTTTTTTTTAGTTTGTGAATAGTCTCTTTCTCTTTTAAATCTTAAAAATTTAAATTTGCTCGTTTGTATAGTCCCTTCTTAATCTGATTTATCTAGTTTGGTCGTCAGTAGAGTCACTTTTACACTTTTTTAATTTAGTCAGTACAGCCCCTTTTTATTATTTCAGTAGAATTTTTTAATTTTTTCTTGATTTGTTCTTTAATAGAGTTTTTGGCGACACTTTTTTTTTAATTTGCTCGTCAGTAGAGTCCTTTTTGTCATTCTTAATTTGTTCGTCAGTAGAGTTCATTTTGGTCATTCTTAATTTGTTCGTCAGTAGAGTTCATTTTACACATTTTTTTCTAATTTGTTTGTCAGTAGAGTCCTTTCTCTGTTTTTTTCTAGTTTATCAGTAGAGTCCTTTCTTGTTTTTAATTGAGTTTTTTGTCAGTAGAGTTCCTTCTTATTTATTTCAGTTTTTTCGTCAGTAGAGTCTCTTTTACATTTTTTTATAATTTGCTTGTCAGTAGAGTCCTTTTTGTCATTCTTAATTTGCTCGTCAGTAGCGTCTGTTCTTTGATTTTTTCATAATTTGCTTGTCAGTAGAGTCTCTTTTATCATTTCTTTGTGTTTTATTAGTAGAGTCCCTACTTTTAATTAAGTATTCTTGTCAGTAGAGTTCCTTCTTCGTTATTTCAATTTTCTCATCAGTAGAGTTCCTTTTAAAAAAAAATTCTACGAAAATCCAATTTTCTTGTCAGTACGGTTCTTTTCTCTTATTTTTACTGAATTCGTTTATCAGTAGAGGTTTTTTCGACACTTTTGTCTCAATTAGCTCGTCAGTAGAGTCTTTTTTTATAAATAGTTTCTGCGAAATCCCTTTTTTAAAAAATAATTTCTAGGAAACCTCAATTTGCTCGTTAGTAGAGTCCATTTTACATTTATCATTCTTAAGTTTCTTGTCAGTAGAGTTTTTTTTACATTTTTTTTAATTTGCTCGTCAGTAAAGTTCTTTTTATGATTTTTTTTCTTAATTTGTTTGTCTGTAGAGTTTTCTTTATGATTCTTTCCTACTCTGTCAGTAGAGTCCCTTTTTTAAAAAAATAATTTCTAAAAAAATCTCAATTTGCTTGTCAGTAGAGTTCTTTTTATGATTTTCTCTCTTAATTTGCTCGTCAGTAGAGTTCTTTTTACATTTTACATTTGTTTCTCTCATTTTGCTCGTCAGTAGAGTTCCTTTAGTTAAAAAAATCTACTTACAATTAGAATTTTATTTAACGAATAGAATATGAAGTTTTAAGTTTCTATTATTTAATCTGTTTGTCTATATAAGTTTAAAATGGTTATAGAAGAAGATAAGATAGGTTTTTCAGTTTTAAATAACTGTTTAAATTGAAATTGTTTATTTTTAGATTTATTATTACTTAATTTGTTTATTTATTTCTTTTAGGTAATAGCGATACTCTGACGAGATCTGGTAACAGCGATCAGGATATGGTGGCCGAAGCGAGGCTGCTGAGACAGCACAAAGGGAGACTCGAGGCCAGGATGCAGATTTTGGAGGATCACAATCGACAGTTGGAGGCACAGTTGCAGAGATTGAGACAACTTTTAGATGAGGTAAATAAAACCTTAAAATAATAATAAGAAGTGTTATTTGAGTGAAAGTTGGTTAACTAACTAAGAGATTCAGTGTGAAAGAAAGATAGTTTGAGAGAGAAAGTAAGATAAATAGAGAAACGAGAAGTCAGGGAGAGATCAATAGAGAGAGAAAGTGAGATTGTAATAAAGCAAGTAAAAGTTATTGGACAAATGTATTTGTGTATTCAAATTTCGCACGAACCTTATCTTTGGAATACAGAGTGAAGTATGCTATGCTACTATGCGATTAGGCTTTGTTGTGTTTATGTACGACCTGTTCCATATTGTATTTCAAGGAGACCACATCCAGCTAATAAATCATCTTATATTTTAAATTGTCTTTTGGTTAATGTTATTATTTATTTTCTTTATTACCAGTTATGTATAGAGAGTGATGTAGGGAGATAAAGACATTTTAGTTCTAGAGTGATATAGAAAGAAATAGAAAGAGAAAGTGAGACGAAAAGATTTAATTTTACATTTGTTTACATTTTTTTTCTATTTCAGCCAAATGCAGCTTCTCCGTCTAAAACTGGAACTTTGCAAACGAGATCAGTGACGGCTTCACAATTGGCAACGGATTCACCGGCTAAGATGCAGAATGGACTTTATCATGAGTCGAGTAAGTTAACTAAAACATAAATCAGCAAATTATCTTTATCTTGAATCGATCAAGTATATCTTTATAATAAATCGATAAATTGATCTCTTCTTCTAATATTCTTATGTCTTCTAATATTTGTACGTTTAACCAAATTTACTTTAAATTAGTCTTATAATAATATAGAATTGCTATTCAATATAATAATGAAAATAAATAATAATATACAGTATTTTGAAACATTTTGGTTCATAAATTTCATTTTTAAATTTTCCTTATGGGAATCTAGAAAATTTATCTCTGTCTCCGTAAATTATGTCATTTTTATACATTTTATTTTGTTTAAACAAATAGATTTAAAAGTATTTTAATAATAATATAAATTCATTCTTAATTCATTCGTAAAATTTATTATAAGTTACATTCTTAAATTGTTTTAGTACAGTGAAGCTTTAAACCATTATGGCAACCTTAGCAAATATACAAACCATATCAAGAATTTTCTTAAAAAAATGCTCAATTCATTAAAGTAAATTAATTAAAGTAAAATTTTATTATTATGCTTGAAACATTTTTCTAAATCGATTTTTTCTCTTGTTTTATATTTACTAATAATACTTTACGATAACATTTGGTTACGATTAAATCAGGTAACAAAAGCAAACAAAAATTTTACTTTATTTCTATTTTTAATTGCTTGCACGTTTTACATAATTAATTTTGATTTTATTCAAATAATGCCAAAGTTCAAGTGTGAAACACGCTTTACTACGCTAAAGCATCCGCCACACTCTACCGGCGCCATATAAACTCATAAACAACCGTTATATACAAAATGTCAAGTGTGTGTGCCGCTTTAGGCTAAAGCGTGTAACACACTGTGCGAATTTATAAAATTAAAATAAAATTTTGAAAAGAAGTAAAGAAAATCTTAATTTGTTCTGCGACGTTTTCAAAATAGATATAATACCCCAAATAAATTCTTTTAATATGATAAAAATCTTTCTTGTCTTTGTGCTTCCAAATTTTCCCAAAATTTCAACTTTTATTGAAATCCAGACTCAGTTTGTTTGATCGCTAGTAGAGTCCTTTTATTATTAATATACTCATTTTTTATATTTCAAGATTTTCACTTGTCGTAGTTAGTCTGAAGAAGTTTTACTTCAAAAAATTTATATTATTAAATTTATATTATTAACATTTGTCAGACTTTTTTGAATAGAAGCTGAGTACTTAACATTAACTAAATGATTTGTCCAATATACACTTTTTACTTTACTTCAGCTTAAAGAAGTTTTACTTCAAAATTTTTAAGTTGTATTTTATATGGCATGTGGGGTATCGTTTGAAAGATCTCGATGAGTAGAAAACGATTCTCATACAATAAAATGATTATATCATAATAAAAACATTACATATTCTCATATTTTATTGCAAAAAAATATTACAATATTAAAATTTATTAATTCTCTTTTACTATATGTATTGTCTAAATCTTTTGTATCGAATTCTACAATTAACTATGTCTATTGTCCACAGTATATACACTTTAATGAGTTTGTAGTAAACGGCTTAAAGAAGTTTTACTTCAAATTTTAAAATGTGGTTTTATGGCATGTGGGGTATCGTTTGAAAGGTCTCGACGAGTAGAATCTGAATCTTATTATTATATCGTCTCAATTCATATTTTATAATGATGATTCAACGAATAATTTGTTCAAAAGTTTATTAAACGTAAATTATATTTTTACTACAACTTTATTGTAATAAAATTAATAAATTGTGA